TCCTCACACCAGGAGAACGTTCAGTTTCTCACTGAAAAGGAGAAGCTCGGACCCGCTGAAAAAAAATCACCTCAGCTTCCCTTCTTGACAAGAGGAGAAGCTTGCCTTCCCCGCGAGAAGGAGAAAGGGCTGGCCTCCTCCCTCTAATGGAGACTTCCGCCGAGGTCTTCTGCTGGCGAGCAGACGTAGCGGAGGAGACGGAGGAGGAGCATGTTTGGATGAAGCGCATGGAGAAGAATTACACGGTCTTCGGACCGCTGGCAGATTCAATGGTATTGATCTTCGCCAATAAATAAGTTGAATAAATTCATCGGATCTCTCGATATAGTTCACATAAAAATAAAGGTTGATCTCACTTGGATCCGATAATACAGTATATAATGACTCTACAACGAAACGAATTTCGTCCATCTCTCGTCCGTATAGACCTCTTCCTCTGAGACAACTCTTATTTTTACATCAAGGTCATCTTCGTTCTCATCATCGCCTCACTCCACGGCGATGCCAGCAACTCGCGATCAGGCCTTCTATCCGCGCACGGACTCGCCACGGACTGTTCGCCGTGCCCGGCGCCGCGCAGCTGCGCGGCGTGCCCTACGACGTCGCCGTCAAATCATCAGCGTTCATGGAGACCGACGCTGGAACGGGACAGCGGGCGGCCGGCCGCGCGCGCTGCTGTGAGCTTACGCAGCACAGGAAACGTACACGCGCTCGCACCGGCGCGCTCTACACCGGAGGACCGCTGGCCGAGATTCCCGAGGAGTTTTACCGGCAACGAGAGCGATGCGTGGGCGGTGCGGCACGAGCAAGGGGCTGGCGCCGGTACAACGTGCAGGATGGCTACATGACCGCTTACAACACAAGTGAGTGATTGAGGAACAGAGGTCAAATCTGGGGGGGGGAAGAGAGTCAAATATGTTGGCCGTCCCGGCTCAGACGGTCAGATCTAGCGGGACAAGAGGCAAAGTTATCGGCGGACAGAGGTCAAATCTGGTGGGGGCAGAGGTCAACTCTGTGTGTGTCGACGAGTGCGCAGAGGTATAAATATGGGGGGAAAGGGGCAGATGACAAATCGAGGGGGGGGGGTAGAGGCCAAATCTCGTGGGGATTAGAGTCAGATCTTGGGGGGCAGAGGTTAAAATATCGGGGGGACAGAGGTCAGATCTAGGGGGCAAGGGTTCAATTTTGGCACAGTGGGGGCAGAGTGTCAACTCGGGGAAGGCCGGGGAGGAGCCGTCAACTTGGGGAGGGGGGGGGCAGAGGATCAAATAGGTCAAATTTGTGGGGGCAGAGGTCAAATCTGGGGGGCAGGAGTCAACTCTGGGGAGACTGAAGTGAAATCTGGGGGTCAAAGGTCAGATCTGGGTAATACAAGTCAGGTTCGGGAAAGCGGTCAGTTCTGGTGGCACAGAAGTCAATTCTAGAAAGGGACAAGCCAGTTCTGGGTGGACAGAAATCGGTTGCAGGGGGTGACATAGACCAGTTCTAGAAGCGCAGGTTAGTTTTGGGGGACACAAAAGTTAATTCTGGAAGAACACAAACTAGTTCTAGGGAACTGAGGTGAGTACGTGGAGAAACAGAAGTCAGTTCCAAGAGAATAGGGCAGAGATTCCAGGGGCAGAGATGAGCTTTGGGGGAGGCACAGGCCAGTTCTATGGACGCCAGTTTTTGGGGTACCCAGGTCAGCTCTATGGGTGCTCAGGTCAATTCGGGTGATACAGAAGTCAATTCTGGAGGAACAGACCCCAGTTTCAGGGTCCCCGGGTCAATTCAAGGGGACACAGGTCAATTCTAGTGACACAGAAGTCAATTCTGGAGAGACACAGACCAGTTCTGGTGTCCCCAGTTTAGTTCCGTAGGTATACAGGTCAGTTTCAGGGACACAGGTCACGTCTAGGCGGACAGTAGTAATTTTGGGGACGTAGAGGCCAGTTCTATATATAATTGACTTTGAAATATATAAATATATAATTGTTTGCGCAACGCATCGTTCGTGTCGATGTCGGACTATGTAAAAGGGACATCAGTTTTGATGTTTGATGCACTATGCGTCCTGGGGTGCATTAAGACCGCTTATTGTGAGTCTGCTTCTGAATGAATTTGCCGTTAAAAACAGCGCAAATGAAAGTTGATTGACTTGCTTGAGCTGCAGCCCGATCACCATATCCCCCTCCCCCATACACTTTTCTGCCTTCTATATCTTCTTGGTTAATTCTCGTCGTCTCTGTCATCGTTTCGACCTACTCACCGCCTTCGCCATCTATATACGCATCCATCTCTCCAGTGATCCTTCCATCCATTTATGCATCTATCTATTCGTTCGTCCGTCCGTCCGTCCGTTCACTCATCTTTTTCATGCCTTTTCGTCTTTCTTCCTCTTCCTCTTCTTCTTCATCTTCTTCATCTTCTTCTTTGTCTGATTCTTCTTCTACTTCTTCTTCGTCTTCTTCATCTTCTTCTTTGTCTGATTCTTCTTCTACTTCTTCTTCGTCTTCTTCAT